AAGATATTACGATTTCCCGCGAAAAATGTCTGAAAATAAAACTATTAAAGAAACATTACACTCTAAGATCTGGCAATATGGCTAATTAGATGCCTGAGCCTGTCGTCGCGAAGGACGAAAGATTTAACTATTATTTTTTAATGTCAAATATGCGTAGGTATAAATCTCAAAAACCCTCTTAATCAGCTAAATAAAAAAAACTTCACAAACACCCTGTCGGGTAATAAGAAAATAAAAAGGCAAAGGGTTCGGGAAGAGGGTGTAGTACGCATGCGCGGTAACCCTTCTCGTACTACAAACGGGAGATTCCGCGACCTTCGTAGGTCGCCGCCCCGCCATTCAAGTCCTCGTTGATTTTCGACTAGGACACCATATGGCTAGGCCTGCTCGAGCGAGAATGCACGCTTGACTTGAACGGATTTGTACTTGTAGCGAAGGGGTCAGGTATTTTCTAGCTAAGATGACATCGGGTCTCATATATATGGTCGGGGAAACATAGAGTATTTCTTGCAGAGCTAACTGGTTTAAATGCTGTCTAGGAAAGGTATAGTCTCGATCACGTGCTTATGCTTTCTCTGTAGCAAGATAGCTAATAGTAAGTAGGTATTAAAAGTATGTAGGTACTCAGTACGATTAAAAAACGTGATCATTTTTATCAGTGGATTATTTTGGAAAAATGAAATTTGTTTCGTTCCATTAGGTTCATCTTTTGAAGTCAGTGCCGTTCACTTAGCTTTTTCTAAAATGAACGTGAACGTCTTGAAAATGAACGCACCTACCATTGAAAAAAAGACTTAAAAAAGAAAGTAAAAGTGGTACACGATTTAAATCGTAAAGTATTGAAATGAAATGCCAAAGCAATACATCTTTAAGTCTTCAATGTAATTGCCCACAATTTTAACCACGCCAAGAGCAAAGGGTTTTAATTATGCAGTTACCAAAGAGTGATATCCGTACGTTGTAATTTTAAAACTGTTTATATTATCGGTGAATTCCTTAAGTGTTTATTAGCTCGTCGCTTATGGTTTGTGTCTAGAGGTTTTTAAGCGATTGTAAAAACAAAGAGCTTAGTTGAAAATTTATGACACCAGCCACAAATTTTCAATTAAGTATATATATTAAAAAGTCTTTTTTGCGAGAAAACAATAAGGAACTTAAAGAAAAAAACAGCAATGTTCACCTGTTTCAACATACATAATAACGCTATCATGAATATGTACTTTAATCGTAATATACTGAGTACCTATTTATTTCTTTTTTAAAGAAAAAAACCAGCGATTTTAAAAAGTCTTTCATGCGATTGTAAGAAATTAGGAATTAAAAGAAGAAAGCCCCAAATTTTCGCTCTTTCGAAATGTTTTCTTTGCCAGCTATCACAACCCTAGATTATCTATGCTCTAGGCTAAAATAGATTATAACAACTAGGCTGTAGGTATAGGTTATTTGCGTTTCCTATAAGGGATAAATATAATACAAGGAGCACCATTTTACCACCACCACTACTACAAGTTATAATACTTTTCTGGTTGTTTTGTAGTGTTTATTTATGCATTCCGTTTTAACTATTGTTGTTTTTGGTACGTTCTTATTTTCGGCAGCTGTTTCTTAGTGAGAGTTTCACTAACCACAGATAAGTGTTCTTTTTTCAGTTCATTTTAATTGCAGTTGCCAGTGTCAACTTTGCGGTTTGTAGCAGAAATTTTCTAAGTATTTTTATTAATAAATTGTTATATAAGTATAATATAAATTTAATATATAACTTATTTTTGTCTTAAAACATCAACTATCTTTGTCTACACAGTTGTATTCCAATCCATGTATGCTCTTGGGTTTAAGGTTATTTTGCAGCTGTGATGCATTCGGAATGCCGCTCGTATGATTGCTTCCTTAAGTCTTTTCTTTACTGCATTGAGTTTATTAACTCAACTTATTACCTTCGCTGAATAAGTGCTAAAACCGCAAAGTACTTCAGCAAATAACACATGCGAAAAAGGGCCACATTCGCAGAAACACACGAACGCTAAAAGCAACGTCTAAGTAAATAAATAGAAGTGTGCTAATTTGATTACTTGTTAATCCTGAAGGAAAAAGAGTAATTATCCGAATGTGCCGCCATTAGGTATTTGTATTAAGGCTCAGTTAAGGCCAGTTAATGCCCTTTGGATTACGTTTGTTGGATAATTTAAATAGACACAGGCGATAGACAGAGGCGTTTTTAGCAGTTTAAAAGTATTTGTATGTGGACTGAATTACTCGTATTAACGTGTGGAAATGGTTGTAAAAATACTACAGGAAAAATACATTTATTAATTGAGACGTTACATAACAACATTTAAAAATGTATAGCGTATAGTGTTGTTTAAAAAAGTCGGTCTATTAGTATGTCTTATCCGAAAAGATGTGTAACAGAAAAATGCGGTTTACTATATGTATAGAAATTAGAACTGACAAAACAAATACTAACTGAAATTTTAAAAATGTATGCCTAAAAACATGACGACACTATGTACTTTGTACCCTAGCAACGTCTCTGGGTGCGCGGGCGCAAAGTCGACTAATTCTGCGAAACCAGGCCTGGCGCTTCGCATGAATCACACCGAGCGTATGCGCTTAGTATCCGGCTTGCAGCATCTCAATATCTTCGAGAGATTATACTAATGCGATGTAAATACTAAGTTCAACCGTAAGACTGCTGATGCTGAACGGTATCTATTGAGGAAACGAAGACGCTCGCAATTGGTTTTTTTTTCTCCTAAATCTTAAGCATCAAGTGCAATACACTAAACTATTTTTCTTTCTTGTTATTAGTCGATTATTACTTACTTACTTTTTTTACTCGTATCACCTAGTTTCATTGATTTTGGATTAACAAATGCACGAACTTAAAAAATCGAATTTACAACCTTTCAGTGAAATGATAATTCCAGAATCCAGCGTGCGGCGTAAGAGGTCTCAAGCATAGGTTCTTTACAGATTGTCTGTTTGGAAATCCCATGGTCACAGTTGACTGAGGTGGTAATGACCTGTAAAGGGCCCGAAACGTTGGTTAGTTTGAAAAAGCAAATATACGCGATTTAAATCCGAAAAAATAGTTTCGTTCCCTATGTGTAACAATCGCGAAAACCTCAGATATCATAGACCATAGTGTAGAGTCGTCTTTGAGTTAGTATTTGATCAAACAACATTCGATTGCAGGCTTCTACATGGTTACTACTAACTAGTAAGGAAAATAATATCAAACCGGTAAAAATAATAACACTAAGAGTCGTATTCCAGAACTCTACTCAATACTCAAGTCAGGACATGAGTATTGCAGTGAGCACTGAAAATCATACTCAAGTCCTTGCCATTAGGGTCGTATTTCCAGTGCTTCAAATCATACTCAAATCTGCTCAAATCCTGCCTTGAGTATTGAGTAGAGTTCTGGAATACGACCCTAAGTCCATTCTGAGTCAATATCATTCTCAGTTATCTATCTTACCTGAAATGTCATAAAAGTTAGTCTACAAAGGTGTGAATAGACTTAAGAAAAGCTGGCACAGCACAAAAACAAGCTTCATTGAATACACTGAAGTCAATGGTAAATTGGATAATGACGTAGTCGCTGACTCATGCCGTGTTCAAATAACAATGCCATAATATAATATAAATTATTAGTTGTATTTCTCGTGAATGAACCGAACAGTACACTCAGATTCGCCGGGGACGGAACATGTTTTAGAAATATAGTTTATTTTATTGCTTAAATGAGTCGTGTTAGACTGTGGTTTAGAAAATTATTTGAAATCATGTGCACTTGCAAGGGATTTCGCAGTGGTAGAGGCGTGAAGACTCAAAATAAATGTGTGAGTGTTTCTCTACTACCCTTAGGATCTAAAGAATGGTTCGGAACCTTTACATAATACTGGAAAGAAATCTCTACCACTTGTGGTGAATTAGTTACTTACCAAATTCAAAGGAGAAATAAATGTAGACCATATAAATATTTCCCCCGGTCCGGGAATCGAACCTGGGATCTCTGCGTGACAGCCTAGCATAGTTTCTGTTCGGCCACGGAGGCAGTTAACTTGAGCAGTAGGTATAGATAAAAAAAATCTTTTCTAATTGGGTATCACTGCTACTTACCAAAGTGGTCGACAGAAAAAAAAATACTGTGTACTTTTTATAATGATGACTCGGTTTTCTCATACTCTCAATAGTAAAAATGAAATCTTGAGCAACAAAATTATTCCAAATAAACTCGTCGAAACATAAAATCGTGTGTTTTACATTTAAACATCTTGTGTGGTCCTTACTTTGTCTTTAATGGACAAATAAATTCGCAAACGCCTTTATCTCTTATCAGTTTGCATGAATTGCATAACATCAGTCGGAAACGGACACGACCTACCCCAACAGCAACTCGCCCACAATCGTTCGCACAATGCAATCCGTCATTATCGTTTGATTTAGGACGCGCTGTACCGCGCAGCTGCGCCCGCGCATGGCAAGCATATGCCAAAAGCAGGCGTGAGGGTGTCAAATGCTAATAAGGCATAAATAATAACCAGCATTTACGCCGTGTTTTCGAGTACAAGCATTTCAAAATAGGTCCTCATTATTCTAAACTTTTATAAGCTACAAGTAATGGCGAACGTCACGGAAGTGGTATATTAAGCGAAGTGTCAAGTTTAATTGCTAGTCGTCAGTCCCTGCACGCATTTTACTGCTAATTACTTATTCAGATTTGGAATTGCTTTGTTTATTATGGAGGTGTTATAGTTTAATGGCCCGCATGATTGCTTTATCCGTAGGGAAAACAGCATAGAATAAATTAAATAGGTAACATAATTTTTAATGTTTTATCGCATTTATCGCCATAAAATTGTATGAATCGTTTAAGTAGGTAAATCGTTAAAAACGTCGCGTAAGTGTGCTGAAGGGTTTTGTTATGGCATACATGCCATCCTCACGAAACCCCGACTTGACCTTATGTTAAGTATTTTTTCTTCTTGTTACAGTGCATGGCGCGGGCTCTATACGATAACATAGCGGAGTCGCCGGATGAGCTGGCTTTCCGGCGTGGCGATCTGCTTACGGTACTCGAACAGAACACAAGCGAAGGATGGTGGCTGTGCTCTTTGAGAGGACGACAAGTAAGTTTTTTCTTAATATCGTCATTGGCATTACAACATGCGTCAAAAAAATGTCTGCAAATGTAAGCTATCTGCGCAATAAAGTAAAAACGCACGCGGAATATTACAACACAATTTTTAACTATGCAATGATGAACAAAATGAAACATGAAAATTATCAGAATAATTACCGCATTACCTAATGATTTCTCACCGCATCATAGTGCAAATGTAGCCTTTCGCTTTCGCAATAACCATACTACTGCCTTGGAAAAAAAAACATTAGAAAATGTAGAGTTATGTGTAGGTAATGTATAATTAGCTCGATCTTGATATTTAAATTGAACTAAAGTTAAACCTTACGTTTAAGTTAAAAGGATTGTACTCTCAAATTCAAAGGCTGTCAGCATGCAGCAGTAGACCTCCATGTGAAAGAGTTCATCCAAGGAAGTACCGCCACCTTATCTATTTCTGCCGCCAAGCAGTAATGTTAGCATTACTGCGTTCCGGTTTTGAAGGGTAAGGGTGCTGGGTGGAACTACAGGCGCATGGGACTTTCAACTTGTGTCTCAGGGTGCCGGGCGCAATGGCTTTGCCTCTCAGATATTTGCGATTTAAAGCTCTAAGTAGCACTGCAACTGTTATGGACAGGCGTATAGCTTACCATGAGACGCACAACTTGTTCGTCCCGGTTCTTGGTATTATAAAAAAAAAGTCCTATACCACTTTGGACCACGACGTTTAAAGAGAGAAACGTGTTAAGGGTATCATCGTCACTAATCTAGTATAGGCCGTAGGCCTTTCTTAAATTTTGCCATCCCGTTCTACTATTGATGTTTATGCTCCGCGTAAAGGCCCATTTAGATGGAGAGAGTTTCTCGTCGCGAAGATGCGATTATCGAAAGAATATAAAAAGACTTTCCTCGTCTAAACATTCGCGATTATCGCCCTTTCACGTGAGCGATAATCGCCTCGCCTTTGCATGTTGAACGTCTCCGTGTAAACAGAACTTGAAAGCAAATATCGTATTTCGAGTTTTTGTGCCAGCCGTTTCTACCATGCGTGCAGTGCGCGAGGGTGTTTTGATTATCACTGCTTTTCTAAGACAATAATTAATGGAACGAGAGCGAAAAATTTTTTTTCAAATAATGGGGAGTGAGTGAGTGAGTGGGGAGTGAGTGGGCAGTGAGTGGGGAGTGAGTGGGCAGTGAGTGGGGAGTGAGCGAGGAGTGTTTATTACGAATTTACGAATGAACTATTACGAATTAATAGAAATTACGAATATAGCATTTATTTCTAAATCCAAGATGGCGGACACGACTTTTCAAGTAAATGCACTTCTCAATAAACACTCCTCACTCACTCCCCACTCACTCACTCAATCACGCACTCATTCACTCACTTACGCACGCACGCACGCACGCACTCACTCACTCACTCACTCACCAGCTCAATCACGCACTCATTCGCCCTATAAATTTATCACAATTGTCAGTTTTTGTTTGTGTCAGTAGTTATAAAATTAAAAAAAATATATAAACAAATTAAAATACAAAATATATTTCTATACAGTGCAATGAACTTAATAATATCAGCAGTTTCAAATTTGAACGATTTTTGCGTCATTTTGATATATCCATAGTCAATACCGCAGTAATCACTGAACTCG